AATTAAGGTTAGTTATAATTGAATATTTTTTCATAAGTTTAACGTTTTTGGACAGACAATAAAAGTGATTTTAGTTTTCTTTTAAAAGTTAGTTTTTCTATACTTTATATCTGTACTATTATAATAAAGTGTAAACACACACTTCTTTGTTACCTAAGATGTCAGCAATTACACCATATTTTTGAATTATTCTTTCTTTAATAAAAAGCCCTACAATTGGGTCACGCTTTAGGCTATATATTTTCACGCCATTATACATAGGGGGTAAACATTTTGGATAAAAATCCTAATGTGGGAAAGAGACCTTATGTTTTTTTTTTTTTTTTTATAACATAAGGTGGCAAACGAGCAAGCGGCCACCTGAAATCGCCAAAATGGCGAAGCGACCGCTGCCCATAGACATCCGCAATTGCAGATGCGTTGCCTACCCTTATCCGACGGAGAAGGAGACGGACATAAAGAGGATATTTCCCCTTTCTATGCATCTCCTCCACCGTCAAATCCACTTCCTCTTCCCAACCTCTCTTTATAAGAAAAGGGTGGTAGAGAGAAAGGGACTTAAATTAGGCCTCAGGCACCACACTCGTCAGACGAAACACGGAATTGTTTCCATTTCACGCCTGTCTTCTGTGAGGTCGTGGTATTACACCGGGCGTGCCGGCCCATTCATGCTAAGATGTTAAAGCGGGCACTACCACTGTTCTGTCTGAGAAAGAAGCAACTGCAAAACATTTTTATAAGACATGAATAAGTACTCCTTGAGAGTCGAGTTTCATTTGAGCTCGCTTTTTCTTATAATAAAGATTTGTCCGACCTTATAACTAAGATTCCTGTTAAATTTATCTCAAGAAACTTCGTAAAATTTTTGAATATGGAAAGATTTACATAATTAGCAAATTAATTAGAGCTTCGCGTGCTATCAAAATCAAATAAAATCATAAAGCACTTAATATTTCAATTAATTAAGAAAATATTTATACAGGCACTTATCCCGCTAACGTAAACCCTAATTTATTTTAAATAGACTTTGACGGTGCTTAGTATTATGAAAAAATAAATGTTCTCTTAATTAATATGATTGACTAAATTACGACCGCGACTCCGCGTCGAATTAAAACAAAAGTAGCCTATGTATTCTTCCAGACTATTCACTACATATATGCCAAATTTTATTGAAATGCGTTAAGCCGTTTAGGCTATAAACACTAATAAAATCCATTCATCCATCGAAACTTTCGCATTTATTATATCAGTGAGAGTAATATTTGATACAACGTATTAAATTCTATCAATTTTATATATCGTAAACTTTAATTTAAGAATTCTGATACAAGAAATGTATGAATTCAACTTTTGAAAAAAAGAAAAATTTAAACGGTCGAATTATTTATATAAACCAAATTTACTTAGTATTGGTATTAAATAAATTATTCTCCTTTTAAGGTTCGTATGACCTAAAAGGCTATTTATTTAACACAGTAAATTGTTGCCGAGAAATGAACGACAAAATGTAAAGTCGAATATAACCGTGGAATTACACTGCCGTAACACTTGGATTAGATTTTTATGTGTATGTTTGATGAATTGAATGTAATTATAATTACAATTTATCTTATAAAACACGATTTCGAATCTCATTTAGTACTATATAAATTGTTTTTTTAATATTATTGAATATATTCTAAAGAAAAAACGTTATAAATTTGAAGCTTATTTAGTTCAAGTTAAAAATTGCAAAATTATAAAATCTCCGTTTCAAATAATACACAACAGATGGCGCTATTTCATATATTAGAATGCGTTAGTTTTTTTTTTATTCTGTTATAAATACATATTATATTCTCTGTTTGTTCGACAATAATTATTAAAACAATTGTAAAAGCCGTGAAATCCAACGGTTACAAAAGTTTCAGCCTCCATTCTAAATTCAAGGCACAATCTTTTCACAATAAATTGTCGAGTCACCGTATTGAAATAAGTATTGTTCGAATTACGAATAAATTTCATCTGTCACTGACTGAAGAAAAGTAGAATACGGTATAAGGTCGAGCATAGAGTTTTGATGGGGAAGTTTTGAAGTATATTTTTTGTCGATCTCTGATAATTTTTTTTAACGAAACGATGTTTTATAATATTCGACATCGCTTGGAATAATAAGCTTAAATGTAAGCAAACATTTTTAATATCCTTAATTGAATCACATTTATGAAAATAAACGAAATCTAATTGAGGACGAAAATAAAATCTCATGAACATAAATTAACATCGCAAATTAATTTCGCAGCATTAGTTTTTAGGCATATAATTTAAAACAAGTTAAATATATCTTACTAATATTATAAATGCTAAAGTTTAGATGGATGGATGGATGTTTGTTAGAGTTTGCAGCCCAAACGGCTGAACGGATCTCGATGAAATTTGGCATAGATGTAGAGGATAGTCTGGAAGAACACATAGGCACACACACTTTTGTTTTTTTTTTATTCCACGCGGACGGAGTCGCGGGCGGAAGCTCGTAAGAAATAAAAATCAATGATGACGAACTTCGTTTTTCAATTAAGAATGTAAATATTTATGCGGACCCCAACCAAGACAATTTGCATTAAAGTAATTTGTTATTTAAGAATTTACTGGCTTTGAAATAGTCTGAAAATGGGTCTAATTTTTTTATTATTAAAATATTGTAATTTGTTCTATCTCCGTTTTATCTGAAACTCAGTTTCAAAGTATATTCAATTAAAAACTTGGAGAGAGATAAATATTGTAAAAATAGAATGTAAATTGCAACAAACTGCAATAACTAAATAATAAAATATAAAGGATTCAAATTAAGTTTTTCAGACAAGTTAATTTGTTTAAGTATTTTGCTAAAACAAACATAAGACTGGACATCAAGTAACTGTCTACCTAATAATTTTGAAAGAAAAAAAAACAGTGACTTTTTAAATTAAGAACATAAAAGCAAAAAGACATTTTAATCATTCGCTATTATTTTAATACACGATAAATAAACGTTTATAAATAAATAAATTCCTAAATAAAATGTTGTGTAAACAACAAATTTCCTTTTAGATAAGTCCGTTAGAGTTTGAAAAGCGTACGAATATTATTTTTACATTTCTCCTCGTTCCCTTACACAAACAAAGTATACGATATCATATTATATTTTCGTAAAAATATCTCAATTTTATTTCTATACTCTCTTTATCCCTTCCCTTCGTCATCTTCGTATTAAAAACAAGCAAAGCAGTGTGATAACATCTAACCAATATTTGAAATTCATAAATTTAGACGGATGGATGTTTGTTTGAGTGTGCCGTCCAAACTGCTGGAGATATCTCAATGAAATTTAGCACAGATGTAGAGCAGTCTCGAAGAACAGTTACTCTACTTTTTTTTTAATTCCACGCGGGCGGAGCCGCGGGCAAAAGCTCGTAATATAATATTAAGAGGGCGAACAAAGAGATAAAACAAGTGTTTAAATATGCAGTGTTTAACTAAATTTTTTGGGAAAGTAAAGTATGATTTTATATCTATTTTAAATGCAATAAAATGAATTATTAAAAATATGAAATAAATGTTAATATTCTCGATTATTTGATATTTAATTCTGCAATACAAAGAGAGTCGAGAAAGAATTTCCAACTATGGGCTTTATTAAATTCTTGCGAAGAATTCAATTCCAATTTAAGGGGACGTTTATTTATCGTGAATACTAATTTAATTTACTGTTAAAATATATTGATATTTCCAAATAAATAAATATAATTTAAACTCAATATTGTTATTTTTGGATAACGATTTTTTTTAATCTTGTCGATTAAAACTGTAAATCTATTGAATTCTGTTAGTTGTAACTAATAAATGAAATTAGAGAAGTATTCCTCTATTAGTCATAAGTAGCAACCACTATATTAATGGTTTATAAAATAAATTACAATTATATTTCATACTAATATTATAAATGTGAACGTTTAGATGGATGGATATTTGTTAGAGTTTGTAGACTAAACGGCTCAACGGATTTCGATGAAATTTGGTATAGATGTAGAGGATAGTCTAGAAGAATGTACAGGATGCTCACTTTCGTTTTATAATTCCACGCGGACGGAGTCGCGGGCGAAATCTAGTTACCAAATATTTGAAGCGTGTTTGAAACTTTGTTAGGTCAGACCTTTCTTTGTTTAAAAATAAACATTTACCGGTGAATTCCTGTTAGTTGTCTGTGTAATGAAATAGAGGGCGCTACGTGACCGGGCGAACTATCCCGGGCCCACTAATTGTCTCTTTGTCCCCTTTGATTGCTTTTTAGCGTCCCTGTGAGAGAAGTAATGGAGATACGTACAGTTGTACGACTATAAATTGTTTAGTTACCAACTTGTTAAATGTATCATTGTTTTGTAATGAACGATTTACTGTGAATAATTGCGAAGGTTCCTATTTACTACTTATTTTAGCGTCCTCATATTTTTCCTTAAAATGTCAATAACAGATTAATGTCGCCTGAAATATGATTAAAACTCTATATAAATCGTTTCTATAATCTTACTTCTTACTAAAATTATAAATGCGA